CTTCTATATATATATATATATATATATATATATATAATTGAACCAATAAAAAGTTCTACTCTGTCAAAAAATAAACCGAGATTTATAATGAAGATAGGATAGAATTTCATAAAGATAAACATAGAAAAGTATTAGGACATGGGAGAGAGAGTTTTATAATGATGATAGGTTAAAAACTTACAAATAAACAAAGAAATACAACACCAGTATTCGACAAAGACTTAGAAACTGGCTAAGGACCGGTTCGAGTAACCCGCAAACTGGCCGATTCAATGGGCCTAGCAAGGTAGGTGACATTTGATCCAAAAAGTATTAAAAAAAAATAAAAAATTTAAAAAACAAAAAATCATGAAAAACATATATAAAGCATAAGTAAGCAAGAGGAATAATCTTAAGTAAGCAAGAGGAATAATCTTATGAGACCCTCCCATACCCATGTACGTAGGACTCTAAAGGATTGCCATTAAATTTGATACAAATCTCTAAAAAAGTTATCACGTAGATGTAGAACTTGACTTTTCTAGAGATATGTGCCAAATTTAATGATGTGATCCTTTAAAGTCATACACACATAGATGTGAGAGGGTTTCATAGGATCATTACTCATTAAACAAAACAATGAAGTTGAAAAGTAGTGAAATAATTGATTTTAAAAAATTGATTTGTGAGCACGAATATTTTTGAATTTTTTTTATAAAGATGGGAAAACTTTAAGAATAAATATCTATGGCCAATACGCTTTCCAAGCTTTGTCAAAATGATAAAAGGCATTAAAAAACACATTACAAACAAATCCCTTATTTTTTGAGAGTTTATTTAAACTTTTTTAATATTTTTATTTTAAAATACCCGATTGAACCACCAAAACCGGCGAAAAAATTGAATCGGCCAGTGCCCGGTTCTAGTTTGACCAGCCAGTTCCGAGTTGGACAGCCCTACTTTGCGAACATTGTACTACACAATCACACAATTTATTTTGACTTTTAGTACAAGGTCAATATCATCTTTAATCTTTAGCTGTTGGATGTAGAATCAAGTAAACCGATGCACTACCGACAAAAGCTTAAGGTCCCATAACTTTTTTCTCGAACTTTGTAACACAAACCTAGCACCTGTTACCTGATTTGAAATCTGACGGCTAGGAACGACTATGACTACCTTGTAAAATAGGCAAATGGCCTTATATGGTCCACACTCATGAACATTTTGAGTAATGAGAATGTACAAGCCATTGTTGAACTTGCCATTAGCAAAGTAAATAATTACAAAGAACAGAAACCCATCCACAGATGAACTTACAAGCACAGAGTAGCAGGCCCAACAATAGCATGCATTTGAGAGTGAGAAGGTATTATGTTGAAAAATAGGACACTTACATTTGAGACAAATGGGTTCTCAGAAGAAAGAACGGAAATTTGGGAGAAAAATGCCATTAGCACCACAAAATAATAACAAAATCCCTGTGGCCAAGAGAGAGATGAATTTACATGCACATGGTAGCAGGTCTACAAAAACATGTACATAGAGAGAGAGATAGAGGAGCTCTACAACCGCATGATGGCCTGCATGTCTTCTAATGTAATCCCCTGCTTCGTCTTCTTACCCTCCAACTCAAATGCTCCCTTCGCCACTCTCCTCTTCTTCTCCTGCAACTCCACCATCCTCTCCTCAACACTCCCTCTCACGACCAACTTCACGACCACCACTTTCTCTCTCTGCCCAATCCTATGCACCCGGTCCATAGCTTGCTCCTCAACAGCCGGGTTCCACCATGGCTCCATCATATACACCCTCGACGCACTCACTAGGCTCACTCCAACCCCACCAGCTTTCAGACTAGCTAGCAAAACGACCCCCCCACCATGGGAACCAGAACCACTCAGCCCAAATTCACGAACCACCGCTCCTCTTTTCTTAGCCGACATTGTCCCATCCAGTCTCATGACCTCAAACCCAGCCTCGCGAATTGGGCCTACTAGTCGGTTCAGCATTGAGGTGAACTGAGAGAAAACGACCGACTTGCCCGATGGGTTATTGGGTCTCGAAGAAACCAAGAGTTTAATGAGGGTGGCGGTCTTGGAGCTGAGGTTTTTTGTGACAGAGGGGTCGGGGGGTGGTGCTTGGGGGGGTTGGGGGAGAGAGAAGAGGTCAGAGTTTGAGAGAGGGGTTCGACAAATGGGGCATCGTGGGTTAGTGGGGTGGTGGCGGAGAGACGTGAGGATGCAGGGACGGCAGAAGAGGTGGGTGCAGCGAGTGATGGTGGGGTGGGCATCAGCTATGGGTGAGAGGCAGATGGGGCAGTCAAGATCATGCCACTCTTCCTCTTGGAGACGGGCAAGCACCTGGTTCAGCAGCTCCGGGTTGGTGGATAGATCTGCATGGCCACCACAATGGTCAGTGCTTCAGGCTTGAGGAATCTGTATGTGTGTGTGTATCTGAGAGAGAAAGATCCTACATGCATACGTGTACGAGAGATAGAGCTCCTGCACCTACACACGTGTGAGTGAGGGAGCATTTTTAGCATAATAGCTATGTTACATAGTATTCTTCCGTTTGGGTGCCAGACCTGTACCGGGCACGTAGCGACACATATACCCACACATTCTTCTTCTTGTTTGTTCATAATTGATTACATCATTTGAGAGACTTGATTTTTTATTTTTGAGAGACATGAATTTTAAAAATGTCCAAACTTGGAAAATATACGGATTCAGCCAATTAATGAGTAATAGATTACTTGTTGCTACTCATCGTGAAACGGAAAATTAGCAAGCCATTGTTGAATTTGGTTCTCTTTAAAATATACCCATCGGATCCTCTTCTTTATGGTATGAAAAATCCAAGACATCATACTTGTGTTTGCTCGAAGGAGACGGCAAGGGTTTGATGGCATTCAAGAAAAAGAAAAAGGGAAAAATATACTAGAGAGCAACGGATGCTGACAAATTCCTTTAGGAGATGGTACAAACCGGTATGGCATGATTGCCCTCACTTTCCTAATCTTTGGGGTATGAGGGTTTATCGTGGATCATCATCATCGTCAAAGCCTTTTCCCAACTAATTGGGGTTGGCTAGGGTTTATCTTTGATGCAGTGATGAAAAAAAAGTGAGGCGTGATTGCCTCAGTTTACTGCAAGAAAATTGGTGTTGCAAAGCCATCCTTTGGACTCCAAGCCTACAAGACAGAAGAAGATCGAAATAGTTTGACAAGGTTGAGATGTCTAGGTTTACCTTGGACCATAATCATCGTCAAAGCCTTTTCCCAACTAATTGGCTAGGGTTTATCTTGGATGCAATGATAGAAAAAAAGTGAGGCATGATTGCCTCAGTTTACTACAAGAAAATTGGTGTTGCAAAGCCATCCTTTTGACTCCATGACTACAAGACAGAAGAAGATCGGAATCGTTTGACAAGGTTGAGGTGTTCGGGTTTACCTTGGATACAGTGATGCCATAGCTTAATGTGTCTTGTCATGGAAGACAATACTAACAGTTATCTAAATGGCATTGAAGTAGGTAAGTCCCTTAACCTAAAAGCATTCATACACTATAAAACCCAAAGCCAAATAAACTCATTGAAGGCTGAAAGTAATAGGCTTAGATACTATAGTAGAGTCCACCGTTGCCATCTACCATCTAGGAATTTACAAAGGCAACAGCCTGGGATTTGGCATTTGATTATACAATGAAGGCACAGAAAGGATTCAAAATATATCTTGAATTGCCATACTATCATAAAAGGTACATAGTGCATGAAGAAAATCACTGAATAAGTTAGATTGCATGAGCTATATTTGGTATATTGATGTGATCAAATAGATAAGTCCTCCGTCTAAGCATCTGGCCATGGTTCGATCATAAAGACCCTCAATCATTTGATGATGCTTTTACATTGAGCTCCAAGGGAGTGTTGACCAGATGGGTATGAGAAGGAATATCATGAAATTTAGTTATGTTTTATGGTACAAATCCCCTTAAATGATCCAGTAATCTCAAGTCCCAGGATATGAGTGTCTCATAACTTTCAATTTTGGCAACATATCAATACATTCCGCTCCAAGGGAGTGTTGACCAGATGGGCATGAGAAGGAATATCACGCAATTTAGTTATGTTTTATGGTACAAATCCCCTTAAATGATCCAGTAATCTCAAGTCCCAGGATATGAGTGTCTCATATTTTTCAATTTTGGCAATATATCAGTACATGATGAAGCTGAAGTGTCAGTAATCCATAATATCATCCACATAAAAGAAATACAACTAACACCATATAAGAGAAATCCATAATTACACTATTTAAGCCCTCCTAAAGCACAATGCTAAAAAATATCTCATACTTACCCCTAAGAGCATGTTCACACCATAGACAGCTATCACCTATCTTTAGTGTCTACACTAAGACTAATCAAACAAAGACTGCCAAAGAACAGCAGCCGATCATAGAACTCAAACTGTGACAAATATTTGATAAAAAATGGAACATTCATAAAGAAATAAGTATGAATCATATTAAAAAAAAAACAGACAAACAAACAAGTTGAGTCATAAACAAAGAGGCTTTAGACCCCGTTCGAAGGACCATTATTTATTAATAATTAAACACATGTACTTCCCGCCCTGTTGGAGTATAAATGCATGAATAATACAAAAATACAAGTATGAATCATAAACAAAGAGGCTTTGGCCCCATTTGGAAGGACCATTTATTATCAATTTGGGGGGTACGTGTACCCCCCATGCATTTAGGAGTGCAGGAGAAAACAGTTTCGAATGCTCTACTATTCAAGGGTACAGTCTTCCAATACCCTGGTTATTAAGAAAAGCTGCTAAATGCCAACGACTCTATGACAAGAAACTGCTTTTTACATATCTTCAAATAACTTCATTCTTTAATGGAGTTACTGACCTTCCAAATGTTTTGCTAGATTTTTTTTAACCTTTGGAACTTTACGGTTTTATATTTTTCTTTTATAAAGTACTCAATGGACTACTACTCCCCCCCTCCCC